AACACATGTAGGGTAAAAGAAAGTCATAGAAAATATTGGAAGACCAAGTAAAACAGACCAAGATTTTTCATTTAATTTATTAAATATAATCTAGAAATTATTGTTTTTAGTGATTTTTAGTGGTAGCCCCTTTATATTTATGGTTAAAAAAATAAAAACACGAAGTTCCTTGTAATCATCAGTATTTTATTACATATTTTATAGCTTTAAATAATTTGCTGGGAAATTAATTCAATTTAATATTAGAAATTATATATTCTAAATAAGAACATTTATTAAGGATGGTGTGTCAGCATTAGCAACTGACTTGGTTCATTCCTCAGGCCTAGTACACATTACAGGTACAAAATTGAAGTTACAGGATTTCAAATAGTTTTATGGCACACTCTAGTAAATATAGTACACATCTCACACATGTACAGGGTAGACCAAAAAAGTCCACATTTTTGATTTTGATTTTGTAATATCTGCTGATGTGTTCCATAAATCCATAAACTATATATCATCAGGAAGATAATAGAATTTCCGACAAAATGATTCCTAAAATATAAATGGCTATTGGTGACTCTATGGTAATTTCTAGATGTGTTGAACTTGTTTCATAATATTATATTGCTTAATCAACATTTTTAGGTTTTTATATATCAAGAAAAAGTATTGGGGTTGTTTGTTATCATTGTATAGCTTTAAAATAATCATAGAATCTATTTTTATGCATTGCAGTTCGTTATTAAATAGATTGTTAGAGACATTGATATTTGCAAAGAAAATCAATTGAAATTATTTCATAAGCCGTTATTTATTGAATACATTTCCATTATTTTCTCTTCTGGAGCATTTAATTGCATTGTTTGCCATTTAAAATCTCAGTTAAGCTTGGTTATATAAGTACAACATCATTATTGACCAAAACTCTACCGATGATTACAAGGAGTGTTCATGTTATTAAAATATAAGCTTGAAATTACCTTATCAGCGTAGTAGTCAGTAGAAGACCGAGATGCAGCTCTACAACAGAGGCATTTCCCTCAGGAGTCAGTCTCATACATTCCCATTCACACAGATGTATGTATAGAGTATGCACGTAGATGTCAGCATAACTGAAATAAATTGAATTTGATATAAGAAATTACATATTCTACTAGTACATGTATACAAATAATATTTAATAATGATGGTGTGGCAGTATTCAGGTGTCACAGGAAAAAAAAAATCTGTCCAAAATTTGGATAAAATCTCATGAAACATACACAAGAGCAGGATTTAGTACATGTATTAAGTAAGTCTTCTTGAAATTAAATTGAAAGGCCTCACATACCGCATTTCGAAAACATTGGTCTAGTATTGGAGTACTACACGCATAATAAAGCCTAAGCTCTAAGCCAAAGTGACTGGAACTTTATATGGGCATTTAATATACAGGGTGTCCAGAAAGTATGGGGGCCCCCTAGGCAGACATTTTTCAATGTCTCCATAGTATGTGCCATATATCATTTGAAAGATCATCCAAAATTACACCGATCTGCCAAGTATCACAGTTGAACTCAAAATGGGAAAAAGTTTAAAAAAATTAAAGTCAGTTTTACACCAAAATAATAGTCGGTGTGTCTCCCTGAGTTCCTAAGCCATGTTAATGGCAGCAATGCTTTCCATATATAACCTCAAACGTGCTTCAAATAGGGATTTGGCATTTTTTATCCTCATAAAATGTTTTTAAAGCATTCTAGAAGAGTTTCCCTGGAGTATCTACCCTCAACTTCCTCTTTTTAGAACTCAATATCCATCCTTTTGTCGACAATAGCTCCCATATTTTCGGTCACATTCAGGTCAGGGCTGTTACAAGGATACTGAAATGAACTATATGTTTAGCTAAACACTTAGTTTTGAAATGCCTGTAACTATTTACCATTTGTGAGTTGAACCATGATACTTGGCAAATTAATGTAAGTTTGGATAAGCTTTAAAATGATATATGACACATACTATGAAGACATTGGTATATGTCCGCCTAGGGGGCCCCCATACTTTCGGGACACCCTGTACAGGGTATCAAATAAATATGTTCTCCCCCTTAACTTTATGATCCACATAATGTTGGATAACTTTTTTGTCTGCATGATATCTGAATTGTTCCTTAGCACAGTAAAACTATCTATCATATTTATTTGACACGCTGTACATTCGATTTATCTAACATTGTGTACATACCTCGAAAATCACATTTTTCTGCAACATGGCAGATCTCAATCATTGGCATAACATTCAAAGATGGAGTCAACAGGTAAAGAGGCATGGTTGCTACATGTCCATTCTCACTCGGTAGCTGGAAGAAAATAAGTGTACATTATTGATAATATTGAATAATATTGATCATTTAGAAGGTATAAAAAGCTTTTATATGTGTAATTTGAATGAATGTTGCACCTATCAATGTTGCACCCATCAATTTAGACCCAATAAAATACAAAATAAAACTAGTGAACTTGTAAATAAAATGAGTTTGAATTCATATAATACATGTATTGTCATATATTGTATTATTATATCTTTTCATGTGGTGTTTAAACGCCATATAAGGAAATCAAATAATCCGAACCGGACTAGGAACCCACATTTGAGGTCTTGTGGTGGTACAAATGTTGATACATGTAGATGAGAAAATCTACTTGGAGTTTATCTTAGCTATTACATACACATTAAGCTGAATACATGAACCTTCAGAAATACACTTTTCAAGTGGTGTCTGAACTCTGAACACCATATAAGGAAATTGAACAATCCAAACCAGACTGGGGAGTCGGGGACCCACATTTGAGATCTCGGGGGTACAAATGGCGATAGGTGAGAAAATATACCAGGAGTTATGCTTAGCTATTACGTACATACTAAGCTGATTATATGAACCTTCAGAAATAAACTTTTCAAGTGGTGTCTGAACACCATTTAAGGAAATCAAACAATCCAAACCAGATTACATGGATTAGGAATAGGGACCCACATTTGAGGTCTCAGGGGTAAAACTGGCGATGGATCAGAAAATATACCAGGAGTTATGCTTAGCTATTTAACACACATTAAGCTGAATATATGAACCTTCAGAAATAATCTTTCATATGGTGTATTAACACCATATAAGGAAATCGAACTATCCGAATTGGACTAGGGACCCACATTTGAGGTCTCAGGGGTAAAACTGGCGATGGATCAGAAAATATACCAGGAGTTATGCTTAGCTATTTAACACACATTAAGCTGAATATATGAACCTTCAGAAATAATCTTTCATATGGTGTATAAACACCATATAAGGAAATCGAACAATCCGAACTGGACTAGGGACCCACATTTAAAGTCTCGGGGGGTACAAATGGCGATGGATGAGAAAATCTACCAAGAGTTATGCTTAGATATTACACACACATTGACCTGTATTCATGAACCCTCAGAAATAAGCTTTTCACAATTTTTCCTCAAAATCCCTTATCTAGAGACGCTGAAAACTAACAATTTGAACTGCAAATGACACCAAAATCCGCCAACACTTTGGTTGATAATTCCGTCAAAATTTGATGAATAATTTTCAAAGTTGCTCAAAAGTATACCTGTTATGTGCTCCAAATGTGTACCAAAGAAAAAATTTCTAACCTTCTAGCAAAGTACTGTAAATTAAGAAGACGCTGGGTCTCAGGAAAAGCACCTGTTTTTATTCATCAAAGTTTGAGAGTCTCGATCAGTAAGAAATTGCAATATTTATGGATCTTTTTTCATACCACGTCAAAGCTATGAATCTCAGGATTCCAGTGGCACTCCTCGTTTTAAACTTACCTTAAAAATACCGAAGATTGTCCATAAAACGTGCAAAAAGGCTGCATTGTCGTGACCCGTTCAGACACTGCAGCGCGTTCCTTTATCCTGTTAGTTCAAGGTCAAAACGTTTCTATAGTGACGTTATAGTACGCGCGCGCTAAACCCGGGTATCTTGGCATTAACGTGAAAAACGAATTTTGCGCAAAAATAAAAAATTGAAAAAATGATCGGGCATCAAACTTGAGGGTTGTGTCATGTGGGCAACATGGTGGTCGAAGGATTTCCCGGGAGTAATTGTACCCCTGCTTTTCACAAAGGGTTCATTTTCAGATGTGATATTTGATTCTATTTATGCAACCTCAATGGATTGGTCTAAACACACCTCATTTGGTACACTTTCAATCCTCTATCATGCCTATGGCTACAGAGAATCCTGTTCAAAGAATGACATCAGAGAGAAATTGCTCATCTGAAAGAATTTGGAAACATTTCCATGAGAATTAAGTATATTAAATAATGTGTGTAAGACACCGTGATAGGACGACATCGCAGTTTGATTGGAACATTAACCATTATTACCCAATAAAGATTAACGTAGGTCATGTTGCTAAGTGATCGCACATTTTAGTGAGCAAAGACTTGATTAAGGAGTTGTTGCATCTTTAAATTGCAATAGAACTTGATAATTTGAACTCTCTACCTATATCACTGTTTGGGATTGAGATTGTCATCAGGTCTGAGTCTTCTATTTTGAAAGAGAGTTACAAAGCCATTTAAATGAGTATAATGAGTGTCTCATAGGACCCACTAAGGCTTCATTCGTTTTGCCAGTTGGGCCCCAATAAAGTTTTGTGTCATTAGGTCAGCGACATCGTACTGGACAGGAATTAAATCATTAACGGCAATATTCTACCTACCTCTAGTTTTATGACCATTTACACGGTGCGGTATCCGAACTGCATGCATACTATGCACGCAGTTTGAAACACTGACAAATTGCGAATAATCATTTTTATGGGGTTGGGAAAACAAACATAGACTTAGATTCAGCTATCTTTACCACTAAAGATACAGCCAAAGTCACATATTAGATTTAATTATTTCTGACATAACTTTTGTGGACCCCTTGGATATTTCTTGTCATAGGCTATTGATATTAACCCTTGTAGTTGACTCTGCATTTGATCTTTCAGGTAGCCAGCTGGTTCTTTCACTATGATATCAAAGACTAGTGTGGCCATAGCCTTCCTGACATTATCCTGTTTACAAGGAACAAACACAGAGCTGAATATTAACATAGAAAAGTAAGTTTATTTCTTTTTAATTTAATAATTACAAATATAATTATTATTAACTGTTTGGCAAGAGGGTAAAATCCCATTTTGTTCACATTTGACAACATTGGGCCCAAATCACCCGAAATGTGCTCAGAATGTTGAAAAACTGCACAATTTTAATTTTTGGGCTAGAGGGGGGTTCACTTGAAGCCCTCAAGCCCAATGGCTATGCTACAGGCCTGTTCATAGTTCAAAAGCCATAGGGTTATAGTTCATAAGCCATAGTTCATATTGTAATTACCTTGTCTGCATGCTTCATTCATTTTAATCGACATGAACATATTCCTTGGGTCTCTTAACTTGATGTAAGTTATAATTGCCTAATTACTCTAGAGACTAACGTGTGTTTACGAAATCTTGAATGGTTCATTTTATATTGTTACAATGTGATAAGTAAATCTTTTTCACGAATTAGCAATGCTGAACTATATGACATGACTGACATAAGTCATAGGAGGTCACATTTACACAGGGTCTTGGTATAGGGTTAGGTCATTCCCCATCTTGTTGGGGATTAAGTGACAAATTAGCTTGGCTTCTTCAAGAGTTTTTAAATGAGAATTAAACAGCTTCAACAGAGTAATAAATACATGCACTATTTCTAGTGCAATAAGCTAGACATGCACATATTAACATTGAATTTCCTGTTATGTTTTACTGACAGAGGAACATGTCAATGAATATTCCAGACTTGTAGATAATGCAAAGGATAGAGCCTAGAATATTAGTCCCTGAATAAGAGAAATAATATACAGTTTTGATACGGATAAGATCTAAATGACCCCAAAAATGGCCGTCGTTGGCTTAAATGAGATTTTCAATATGAAATAGGTGGCAGAGTACTTATTAAAGCATAAAATTCAGTTAATCTTTTTAGTTGAATTTATGGAAGCAAAACTAAGCTATTTGCGAGGGCAAGGATAGGCCACATCGGCTATGGCTACATAGACCTTCTTTTGTATGCGTCTTGTGAAAAGCATTTGCATTCTGCAATTTATCATTGTATACGTCGGGGCTAATATTCATGGAATATGAACTTGACAGCTTAGACTATATTATAATGTATGAGGTGATATGACATTTTTTATAGACCTATTCCTGTGCTTAAGGTATATACGCATGTTGAGAATATTTCTGTAATTCTCAGGATTATCATTAACAGCAAATAATGGAATGGGTAAATTTCACACATTTTATACAGATATTTCAATGTTATTGCAAATATATCATCCAAATTCAAAATATTTTGACTAAAATATTAAGAATGCCATTTCACAAGTTGTGAAGATGCGGAACTACCTTACTCTGAATTCCAAACTACTTCATTTTCTTGTTTTGTATTCTCTATTCTGAGAGTCATGTCTAGCATTTGTAAGATGCCGTGTGTCTCAAGCCAAACCTAATTAGTTAAACAGACAAGCTACTATTGAGATGTTTTCTCCAAATACAATTTGTTAAATATGATTTTCAAATGGCTTAAGCAATAATTTCCTGTATCTGTTCAAATGATGGACAATGAACCAAAACCAACAAGTCAGTGTCCATTGCGTGTTACCTGTTACCTGGCAACTGATGCCTAATCCATGGCAACCAGTGTCTGTAACACAGCAATTTTTGCCTGTAACATGATAACCAGTGCCTGCTATTTATCAACTGATACCTTTTTTATAGCAACCAGTCCCTGTAGTATAGCAACTGATTCCTTTTACTTAGCAACTGGTTCCTGTTACTAAGCAACCAGTACCTGTAACATTTGATACCTTTTACAGAGTGACCAGTACCCGTAAATAGCAACTGTGGTGCCTGTTACATAGTAACCAACCAGTAATTGTATTATATAGCAACATATGTCTTCCTGTTGCATCTCTGGAGAAAAACAACCTGTATTCTCTTTAAAATGAATATTGCTAAAGATATGACCATTGGCCAAGAACTAGGAGGGGGGGGGCACCAGAAACAATACAAGATTCACATAGCTGAAACAAATATATTTGAATTGACTCTTTATGTGCTATTCCGTCTCCAAATGTTTAGAATTAGCTGGAGAGAGAAGACCAAAGACAAAGATTCACGAGAGTTAAGATCCCACGATATCCAACCAGTATCCCTTGAATTTTAAATTGATATTATCATCATGTGCTAACCCCTTGAGTCATTTCCAATATGTATAATATTCATTCACCATATCTGGCTATGCATTTCCCAACAGACCTCATCAGCCCTTTGTGTTTCACGCACAATAGATAGCTGCTATATGAACTCTTGGTTGTATATTGCAATCATCACTCATTCTGTTTATGCAGCTGGATTGACTGAGGTATTGTGCCTACTCAGTGTTTTACATCAGGAGGCATCAGTCCTTTGATTTATTTTAAACATTGGGAAAACAATCTTTTGATATCATTTTTACATTGATCAGCTGATTCTTTGATATTTTTTTTACATTTGTGCCTTCCAATTTTTTATTGTCAGGTTGTTTATATACATGTACGAGTATATAGCATCTGTTCAGTTAGTGTACATTCACACAACAGGAACACTTACACTACCTACTGTTGTGTAATCAATAGTGGTTTGTGGTGCCCTTAGTGATAAGTGGTGCCAATGACCCTTTGTTGACTGTCTGTGTAGGAACATTTGCATCAAATTGATCAATTATTAAAGTAACCACGTGAAGTGAAATCATGAAACATTTCATGCTTCATCCTGTTACTAATATCATCTATGCCTTGCAAGCTTGCAAAGATAATACAATAAGGCAAATATTATAAAATCATGATGATGCTAATGCATGGGGCAGAATTCATTTTGAAGTTATTAGGCAAAATATGATGCTAATGCGTGGGCCAGAATTCATTTTGAAGTCATTAGTCATCAGTTGGTTTTGTAATTACAATGCGATCTCTCTCTATATTTATAACATCATCAGAAAATGTAAGACTGTTAAAATATTAATTAAGTTAAACATTGTTCTCCATTGGGAGTTTATGGTCAATTAGCTAAATTTGTGTTCTATCATTACATAGGGTTCTCGTCCAACAAATATGGAGACTCCAAAAATGCATCCAGTTGTTTCTATATATTACATATTATTATAGTCTCCATCTTTTCCCTGGATGGTGTTTGTCATTTGGCATCCGGCGGTTGATGTTCAGCCGTAACAAATGTTTAGATACAGTTTTAAAAATTTTGCTTTCTTATCAATTGTTGCTTGAGATATATTTTTGTCAATGGAGACTCCAGTAGGTTTTGTTATTGCATTTTGTTCATTGCAATATGTTATGGGGTGCATTGCAATGGTCTCTATTTAATGTGGTGAGAACACTAACAGAATAACACAAGTTTTTTGGCACAGGTTAACCAGTCATCTATTTGTTTGGGTAAGATCGATTCGTTTCATTACATTGAAAACTTCCTACAAAGAGATAAGAAAATAATCTCATTTGAGTGTCTTGGAATCACCTCACTTCACAATTCAAGCACAAAGACGCATTTCATCAATTGTTATTATTCATAAAAAGCTTAATATCAGCAGTCTATCAAGCGAGTCAAAATAGCACTTTATAGCACACCGCTCATCAAAGTGAAAGTGCCATATGCAATCCTACGAACGAATCTTTAATCCGTCATTGATTTTTTACAACATCAATGGATCCCTGAAGCTTGGTATGTTAGGAAGATCCTTTGGCACTTTGGTTTAATATTCGCAGTAGATAAAACTATAAGGATGTTGGTCATATGTGAAATAAATTGCAATAGAATGAATTGTTAAGCTTGCCTTATCAGAATATAGTTGATCAGAATCCAGCTACCCAATCAAAATAGCTTTCACTGAGTTTTAAGCTTTCATAGGTTCCTGGCATTTATTCATCATTCAAACTCTTATCAAAGTCAGTGACAGCCACATTTGAGATCATTCATGTCTTATCAACATATTTGTTGATTTGGAGGCTTATTTACTGAGGCTCTTACACTCAGGGAATATATTGCCTATTAGACCATCTGGTTGTAATCAAAACATAACAGGCCCACTGTAAGATATCTATATTTCCCTCAGTATAAAACCCATATCCAAAACTTCCCATGATATAGCTAAAATATTAATCTGGTTGCAATTCAAACCATAACAGGCCCATTGTAAGATATCTATATTTCTCTCAGTATAAAACACATATCCAAAACGTCCTATGATATAGTTAAAATATTAATCTGGTTGCAATTCAAACCATAACAGGCCCATTGTAGGATATCTATATTTCCCTCAGGATAAACCCCATATCCAAAACCTCCCATAAAATAACTTTCATATCTTAATTCCTTAACCCATTTTGTTGCAATTTAAACCACGCCAGGTTCTCTGTAAGATATCTATAATTAACTTAGGATAAACCCTGTATCTAAAACCTCCCATAAAATAACTTTCATATCTTAACTCCTTAACCCATTTTGTTGCAATTTAAACCATGTCAGGCCCTCTGTGAGATATCTATAATTAACTCAGGATAAACCCTATATCCAAAATCTCCCATAACATAACTCTCATATATTACCCCTAAACCCATCGGGTTGTAAATCAAACCATAACAGGCCCACTGTAACATATCTATATTTCCCTCAGGATAAACCCCATATCACAAACATCCTATAACATAACTCTCATATATTGCCCCTTAACCTATTGGGTTGCAATTCAAACTATGACTGCTGTAGATCTTTGTTAACACTGATCAGATTAATGTTTTCTTATACCCTATATATTGTATGTAACTGTAACATATCCACATATCCAGGATAAACCCCATATCACAAACATCCCATAACATAACTCTCATATATTGCCCCTTAACCCATCTGGTTGCAATTCAAACCATGACTGCTGAGGAATTATTTCTTGACAGTGATTAAATTAACTCTATATTGATCCACTGGTATAAATGTAAAAGTACTAAAATAATTCAATCGACAAT